TAGCAAAGTTTGATAATAATGATTTATAAAGATTGTGTTGAATAATTTTTTAATGAAGTTGATTTTGTAGGTCAAAACTGTGGTAATGCCTTGCACCCGACAGCAATTACTTCAAACATCTACAGTATAACCTGGGAAGAGCTCATAGGAATAGTGAGCGTAGGATCTTTTATCATTTTAGTAGTAATAATTTATGCTTGTTACCGACGTTGTCGGTACAAACGATCGCGAGAACTCACAAATAATATAATCAACGAATCGTCTATGAATCATAAAGAAATCACAACGCAAAATCACAATCATCATGCTGAATTCAAAAGGGGATCCAAAATTAGCAATTTAGAAGCCATAAGGAGAAATTCGGATAATGTTAGACCTGTCTCCTACGCCCCTGGAATAATTTCGCCTCCTGATATCCAGCTGCCTACGTATAATGTTATTTTAAATAATTTGGATACTTTAAGGAGCTATGGATCAGCTGGAGACGATTTAGCAGGTAAGTTGACATAGAATTAACAAAAATACAAATCAAGTTTTTGAGAGAACGGACTATCGGATTTGATTGATCTATAAAACATTCAATTTGTAATGATTGGGAGAAGAGGTGATTAGTTTTTGGCAAAGACAGGTCCCGCCATTTCGAAGATACAGAGCTAAATGTGCAAAAAATGGCAGTTTTTGAGTGAACTAAGCGTCCGATTTGAATGATCTAAAAAACTTTCTGCTTGTATTGACAAAACAATTGCTTTTGAGGATAAAAAATATTACATCTTTTTTTTAATTTCCATAAAATATTTTTGTAATTTTGGATTAAGAATTCAAAAAATCACCCAGGCTAAGCACAGTCTAAGCGCCACTCTGGTACAAATGTTTACCCAAGTGCGTTTAGACTGTTTATGTACTGAGCACTTTTCCAATTTTGTGAGAAAACTATTGAAAAATGTGAAAATGACACAAGCTAAGCACAGTAAAAGTGAAAATGTCGCACAGAATTATTTGCAAATGCGTTTAGACTGTGACTATACCGGGGCACTTTTTCAATTTTGTGTAAATTAGGCAACTATTTTTTTTGAAGGCTTCAGGTGGATTAAATAATTCCTCTTTGCAAAAATTTACTTACTTACACATATTGGTTGAATAATTATTGCCTTAATAATAATGAAATAAATTTTTGATTTTATTTTTTATTTACTCTATTATTTCTTTAATTATTACAATAAATTTTAATTTCTTAAAATTATTTTATATAAATCAAATATTATCTAATTCAATAAATTACATTACAAAAATTATTTTAATAATAATATTTTTATCAATAGGAGGTTTAACTCCATTTTTAGGATTTTTCCCTAAATGAATTATTATTGAATCTATAATTAATATAAATATAATTTTTTATTCTATTATTATAATTTTATGTACTTTATTAATATTATATATTTATTTACGATTTACTTTTTCTATTTTAATCATAAATAAGTTTTAAATATCATAAATTTTATTCATAATTTTTTAAGATTAATTTTCCATTTTTATTTCTTTTTATAATTTAAAGGTTTTAAGTTAAAAACCTAATAACCTTCAAAGTTATAAATAAATAATTTCTTTAAACCTTAGTATTAATACTCCTTTAAATTTGCAATTTAATATCATTTTTGAACCATAATATTCTGATAAGAGAGTTTTTACTCATAAATAAATTTACAATTTATTACCTAAATTCAGCCATCTTATCGCAAAATGATTATTTTCTACTAATTATAAAAATATTGGAACATTATACTTTATTTTAAGATTATTAATTTGAACAGAATTAGGTCAACCAGGATCATTAATTGGAGATGATCAAATTTTTAATGTAATTGTAACAGCTCATGCATTTATTATAATTTTTTTCATTGTTATGCCAATTTTAATTGGAGGTTTTGGAAATTGATTAGTCCCATTAATATTAGGAGCCCCAGATATAGCTTTTCCTCGAATAAATAATATAAGATTTTGACTTTTACCTCCTTCATTAATTTTATAAGGTTGTCAATATCTCCCTTCCGCCTTTTTGTATTATAAACCTAGAGCAAAAAAGCGGAAGGGAGATATTTGACAACCTAATATTACTTTCAAGAGCTATGGTAGAAATTGAATTCGAAATGAAATGACTATTGTTAATGTAATAATTGATTTATGATTTACATTTAATTTGCTCAGATAAAACAAACAAGATAGCAAAAATAATGAAAGTTACAGTATTTGTAATAATGTATTTGAAAAAGGTTAAAATTCCACGAATATTTCATCTCATTACGGAAAGTGCCAGCAATTTGCCTTAAGGCACTATGCCATACACGACTACTTTTGATATTAATTTATGGTGATCTTCTAGGTGATAATAATAGCTCAGTGCCTTTAGACTACGTTCGAAATTTAAATCAGCCTCAAAATTTGGCTGCTGGAAGTACACCAGCTGATGTTGAAAGTTTGCATAAACCATCTTGGACGGAGCAGATGCACATGCAGACTTTCTCTGATAGTAAAATTAATAATGGTAAAATAAAAACACACATGTATACTAAAGATCTTGATGTGTTGATTTATTTATATATGTTTTTTTTATAGATTTAAAACGTCCAATAATAACAGCAGATACCACGTTGAAAAATTCATCAGCAAATAGGAATACAGGAATTCTTGCTGGACGTTTGAGTCAACAATCAAATCGTGGTAAAACTTAATTATATTATATCTATATATATATATATAAATCTCGTGTCACGATGTTGGTTCGCGATGGACGCCCAAACTACTGAACCGATTTTAAATTTTATTGTCTCATCGTGTACATATATATCCAACTTAGGTTATAGGAAATTTTAAAAAGTAAATTTAAAATATAAATATATAATTTTTATAAATTTCTAAAAATTTTGACAGAAAATGACCAAAAAAAAAACAAAACACTAAAATGACATATCAAAATTTAAGGAAATTTCGATATATAATTTTTGAAAAAAAAAATTGACATTTCAAAAAATAAAATTCAAAAACATGTACATATATAGCAATATCCAACATTTAAATCCAAATTTGATGAAATGCTATATTCAAAATCACTGTTTATAGTTTTAAATCAAATTAAAATCAATGCTTAAAAATTTAAATAAATGTTGACATGTAAAAAAATTAAATGTCATTTGTCAATATTTATGAAAATAATTATATAAATAGATTTACGATTTAGATTTAATTGATTAGCTTACCAAATTATTTCGGAAACCAAAATTTCATCAAAACATTATAGATCAGAGATAACAATAAAAAAGCGGCATATTTAATTTAAAATTAATCATAAACTAAATTTTGACATTTCACAAATGAATTAATTATTCCAAGTTATGTTATAGGCAATATTGCCAAGCAAATTATAGATACAAAACATTATTGTAAAATAAATATTATCACATTATATTAATTTTGGACCAAGAAGGAAATATTTTGACATTTATAAATTTAGTGCTTATTGGATATATGAAATTGACATTCACTATTTTTCAATTAAATGCAAACGTAAAAAATCAAATATTTATATAAAAAATTGTATATTTAGATAAAGTACTGCGTCGATTTAGACTAAATTTTATTTATTCTTTAATTAAAAAAATGACATAAACAAATTAAAATAAACAAAACATATGATGGAATTATTTATCGGAAGTTAAAGAAATTTGTGTAATTAAAATATAATATTATTATTAATAAATCAGTTAAGATATATTTTGATTGTCATCGCAAATGCTAATCTTACAGGAAATTGTAACCTTTTAAATGGAATAGTACAATCTGAGGGTATCATTGGAATCTGACAAAAACAAACTAGACAAACTAAATATTATATCATATTATATTAAATTTCGACCGAAAAGAAAATATTTTGACAATTATAATTAATTTGAAATAAAATGCAAATTATTTCCACAATATTTCTGTGTTGATTTAGCCAAACTTATGAATTTAAAAATTGATGACTTAAATATTCATTGATGACTTAAAATAATTATTAATTTATTAACAAATAAATACTATTTGAAAGAAAATTTTATTGACATATATGACATGACAAAAGTATAATAAACAGAAAAACTATGATGCGAGTGAATTAATTTTTGAAGTATGAAATGTCAAATAATTTTGAAAATTTTAACAAGTTTTTAATTATTTGTCAAAGAATCAGAGTCCAAATCTATTAAATATTAGATTTTTGGCACTTTTATTAATTTTTTATCAATGTAGGCATATTTTTTATGGCAAAACAACGTTTGCCGGGTTAGCTAGTATATATATATATATATATATATATATATATATATATATACGAATGTTTTTTTATAATTTTTTTATTCCTTTAGCCTTGCTCAATTGCTCAGACGACGACACTCGTACCCAAACGTCTTATCATTGGGATTGTTCAGATTGGGCAAGACGTAGTCAGAACCCTCTTCCTGATATAACAGAGTTCCAGGGGGTGAAATGCCTGATTCTTCCAGTTTCACAGCAATGAGAGCAACGAATCACACCGACATTCTTCTATGAGGGACCAAGGTAAGAAAATAATTAGACAAAATCTATTGTTACTGGGCTTTGTCGGTTTTCGAAAACAAATGTAGCCAAATATAAAAGATAAATGAAAGCGTTTTGATTCTTGAAATCATATCAGTTCAATAGCATTTTATATCTTATCAGTCTGTTTTCTGGTTCCCAGAAAGGTTTTGTATATATTAGTATAGATTTTTATACCAGTATTTTAATTTAAATCAATCATTACTCTAACTTTCCCTACGGGAAGTTAAAAATATAAAATTTCTTCTTATTATGTTCGAAATAAAAATTCTTTAAAAGTACACTTCGTAATGACTTTATTTTCACTTTATTTATATTAGGTTGTCAAATATCTCCCTTCCGCCTTTTTGTATTATAAACCAAGAGCAAAAAAGCGGAAGGGAGATATTTGACAACCTAATAATTGCAATTTTACAAGAGGTAAATTAAACAAATTATTTCTGACTAAATACTTGATCAAGGTTAGTTACAGTGTTATCTCTGTAAAAAATCTACCATGAATTTTATATTTTGAATTGATTAATATTAGTTAATGCAACTATTATTTCGTATAAATTTTAAAATTAAAAATAAGATATTGCTGCATATTTTTGAAATTGTATATTAAAGAGAGTTTAAAAAAAATATTTACAAGTTCATGAGATGGACAAGATATAACTACTGTTATTTCATAATTTATAAAAATATACTGTTGTTAATATGAAACATGCTTTTTCCATGAGTTTTTTTTGAAAATATCTCAGAATATCCTAAATTGTTGTCAGAAATTCTATTCTAATTCTAATTTTGAAGAAGTAACTTCCTCTACTCAAACTTAAAAAAAAAGAGTTTTAAACCCTAGAAGTCACAAATTAAAAAACAAAAAACTTAGAATTATTATATCAGACTTTAAAAACAATTAAGCATAATTTGGTCGCAATTAGAATGTTTAAAATTAATTAATTAAAATTGCACGGAACAGACAATACCCGAGTTTAGCTTAATTGTTTTTAAAACTAAAATTGATGTTAACAAGTATGTATCAACATATCTCTAATATTTTTTATTTTTTTTAATTTAATGATTTTTTTATTTAAAAATGTATTATTTTTATTTATTCGAAAACTTTTCTTTCACTTTCATAAAAATATTTTCATTCTTATAGGTTGTCAAATATCTCCCTTCCGCCTTTTTGTATTATAAACCAAGAGCAAAAAAGCGGAAGGGAGATATTTGACAATCTAATATATGTGAAAATAATGCATGAATAATGAATAATCATTTCCATAGTTATTTAAGCAAGATAAACTATTATTTTTTAGTTCTACTAATTAAAATTAAAATCATTTTGTTTACTATCTATAAAATTGAACAATAAATAAATTCAGTCAAATAGTGTTCTAAATTACACTAAATTTGCGGATAAATTACAGAATATTCGAGCAAAAATTTATTTTCTAAACGGTTAAAACCGGTTTTTTAGTGAAATTAAAATTCGAAAACCGGTTTTCTGGAATGTCGGTTCTTGTATAAACCCTAATTGTTACTAATTTTTCTTCTACTTAGGTCAAACCCATATGGATATCAATCGTGGTGACATCCAGACCTTAAACGAGGAAGATGATGACAAAGGTGAGGAATCAGAATACGTTTGTGATTCTGAATATGATGAAAGATGTAGTGAACCCCAGCAAAGATCTTCGTCGAGAATTTATGACAACGATTTGTCTATCGGAGGTGGCCTTAATTCCTTAGACAGTGGCAGTGATGACTACGCTTACAACCCTGGTAAGATAAAAAAAGTGTGATTGTGATTGAAGTAAAACTCATTTGCTACTGTACAAAGTACCAAATTTAAGTTAAGTAAAATTAAATACTATTATATTATATTAGTAATATGGCAACACTCGTCATGCACACACTTATTAGTGTCAACTATTATACACATTTATATAATGATAAATCATAAATTATATATTTATAATAGAATTATAAAATATGTATAATATTTGAAAATTAAATTATCTATAAAGTTGTCTAACATTGTAATGCCCTATAGCAATATACGGTATACTTTAAAATCGTTATTAAAAATAAGAAATCATTTCAAGTCTAAGCTTGTCATGAGTTCCAATGAATTCTGTACATTTGTTCACTTTTTTTTATAACTTTAGAATCACGCGTTGGATCTGAATATAATATTTTACAAATTTATTCATCAGTATTAAATAGTCTATAAATTTTTCCCGGTATGCTCATAAATTGAAACCTGCGAACAAGAAATATCGCTAATTTTGTTTAAATTATTTATAACTTCGAAACTATTTGGTAGAATCAAAAAGTGTCTTCGGGAAATTTATACAAAATCAAAGAGCCTACGACATTTTCTAACAACACAATGCCCTATAACAACTTAGAATACTCATAAATGACATGAATACAAACAAATTTGCAAAGGGGCGGCGCTTGTGTGGTAATTTTATTTTAAAAAATATAACTCTTAAACTATTCGCTGAAAGTAAATGGTATACTTGGCAAATTCGTACAAAATTAAATAATCTATAACTTTTTCTAATAACAAAATGCTCTACAGCAACTTTGTATACTCTAAAATTGCATTCGAAAACAAACAAAAAACCCTTAGTTAAAGTCATACTTCAAATTCGACATGATCGATTTGACATTGTAATTAGCATTTAGAAATGAACCTTCATTAGAGAAATGAAGTGAATGCTGATTAATAATTTCTATAATATTCGTTCATACAGTGGATTATGTTAAACAACGCCTAAACAAATATTGTTTTCGTAACTTCACTCATCATGTAATAATTGTGTTTGAAGAACTTTATGTAATTAGAATTAACATACATTCATTGACTGCTTGTATTTTGTTTTTACATTTTCGCTGGCGATATAAACTCATTCTTTGAACAGCTGTAATCTCTGTCTTGCTTAAAAATATTTTCCATTTTAATAACTTCAAAAATTTATAGAAACTACAAGTGCATTTTTGATTCTATTTTTAGTTTTGCTCGTCAGTAGAGTTCCTTTTTAATGTTATTTTTAGATTGCTCGTCAGTAGAGTTCCCCGCCTTTTTCATTTTTAGTTTGGTCCTCAGTGGAGTCCCATTTTCTTTCATTTTTAATTTAATTATCAGTAGAGTATTTTTTTTTGTCTTTTATTTTTCGTTTTGCTCGTCAGTAGAGTTCCTTTTTAATGTTATTTTTAGATTGCTCGTCAATAGAGTCTACCTCCCTTTTTCATTTTTAGTTTGGTCGTCAGTGGAGTCCCATTTTCTTTCATTTTTAATTTAATTACCAGTAGCGTTTATTTTTATTTTATTTTTAGTTTTGCTCGTCAGTAGAGTCCCTTTTTAATTTTATTTTTAGTATGTATAGTCCCTTTAACCTTTAATTTTAATTTAATCATCAGTAGAGTCTTTTTAAATTTTATTTTTATTTTGTTCGTCAGTAGAGTCCCTTGTTATTTACGAATAATATAGAAATAATTTCTGATCAATAAACTTACGTTTAGTATAAATGTATACATTATTTTATTATTTTCAAGAAACAGAGTAAAATATTCTTCTGATTGAGGCATTTTTTATTAAACCAAGATTTGTATTAAGATGTAACTTTAAAATGTTTATCTATTTATGCCGATTTCCTTGTTGATATCGGTACGCATACAACATTGATCCCGATACGCATACAACAATAGATCTCTATTTACATACACGACGACTAATCACAATCGACCCGTATAGAAATGATATCATCGAGAGCGAATGACTTTCACTTGACCTTGCCGTAACAATTTCCGTTGCATTTGTACGGATTTACACCCTAGTCGCGCCTAAAAAAGTTTTATTTTAAAACTTACAAAAAAATAGTATTTTGGAATCTACATGTCTATTTTCCACCAGGTTCATCAAGGTACCTGCAACATCCCAATCAGTATTTACCAACCTACAATATCCATAGTGAAACTGAGGCAGAAACGACGTCTATAAATAGTCGTGTTCCTGTCAATGGTTTGCATCATAGTGATCATAGGATAGATGAATCTGATGATTACGATGATGATGATGAGGTGCCCCAGTATGGATTTCCATCTGTGCAGAATCACAAGAGGAGAAACAGAAGGCTGAATGGGGTTCAAGGCAACAAAGGTAAAGGAAATACGTAATATAAGTTACGTAAACCTTAAGGCACGATACACCACTAGTTTTAGTGATTTAATTAATATAGTAAATCTAATAATGTCTAAAAATCTCAAACTCCGTGAATTTATACATATATAACTATAAAATAAATATTTTTGCAATCAGAATTTCTTAAGAATCGTTTCGGCGCATATCGCGCTCTGCTTTGCGTCCGAACGAACTCTATGCAATTGCAGGGTACTATTAGCGTTACACGCGGGTGTACTGGCTCTGTTTTTCTCAATTTTCCAATGTGTTCCACTAAATTGATTTGAACAATATTTGCAGTACTCTAAGAAAAAACAATAGGCTTTCGAATAACGCTAATTAGAAAGTGGTCCAAATAAATGCACTACCCGAAATAATCAATTGAAAAATTATTTTGTCTTTTTCAGCTAATAGTAAACGATTTTTTTGAATCGATTGTTCTACATAATGTGGTCTGAGTTAATGTGAGTAGAATCACGTAAAAATTTTTTTGATATCTTGTATGGTTACTCCAAAAAGTAAGTTTGAAAGAAGGGGCCACTTTGGCATATTTTCAATGATATCTCGGCCATAAGATGAGGTACAAAGTTGAAAATTGGTATATCGGTTTTTATCAAATAGACCTATAAAATGGCGTATAAATTATTCAAATACCAGGGTGGAGCCGATTCTGTATGGCAATGCGCCCATACCCTTTATAAAGCACTTGCTGACCCAGCAAACGTTGTTTTGCTAAGTAAGGTGTATTCTAAACAACTTGTAGAGAATCAAAAATATTAATACTTGTGTATAAGGATGTGTTGTTTGAATGCTATATACAATGAAGAATTATAAAAACAATAAACCGCATTAGTTTTTCTATATTTTGTCAATGCAATCAAACTGGAAGATTTATACACTTTCTATAGAAAACATGGTATACTCCAATCCAAGTCTTTTTTGGTATTTCGACTTATTGATTACGTTTTAAGTTTTTCAGATTCTTTTTGAATTCTGGATTTTGTGTATAATAGTAAATAATACTACTGAGCTTATACAAAATTTTCAAATTTCTGCAAGGTGAGATAGAAAATGAATTAAGTATTTCTTCTTTGACCTGCTTTTTGAAAAGTTTCAAGTAACATTCGTTGAATTAAAGTAAATTTAATAAAAAGTATATATGTACAGCAGGGCGAGGCACAAAGGTCCAATTTGACTTTGAGCAAATATAAACTATATTGTGAAAACTATAACAATTATATCACAACAAATAACACATATCAAACGAACAATTTTCTGACTACGTTTAGTAAAATGCCCTGTATAGGGTAATCCACCTAACATTATTCGTTTTCATTTTCATTTTTTTCAACGGTCAGCCGAGGCTTTTTTTCTTCATTTTTGAATTAAATTATTAACTGAATTAATTTCATTATTAACTGAACGGATTGTACTTTCAAATAGAAATAGAAATTTTAGAAAATATTCAGTAGTTTGTAAAAAAAATTAAGTTATTTGGCGGACCCTATACTTCATCATTGTAGAAATGTGCTTTTTTGATGTCTTTCAAAAATTTATCTAGAACTTTTTACCCTATAGGCGGGGTAACTTGGAACGCGCAGGTGGCAAAAAGGTTTAAAGCCTTATTATAATTTTAAAAGTATTTTACAAAATAATTACACTTTTAATTAATGCTAAAAAACTACCAACGGAAGAAAATACTTTTATTATGGATTTTCAAAGATTACTGTTTATCTCCCGATAGCAAAGTCATAAGAATCACGGTTATAGCTGGTTATACATCTTTTTTCCTCTATTTTCAAATATTGTTGTTAAACAATCCATTTCTAACCCCGGACCTTCATATATTACTATAAATTTTTCGATAATTTCTAGGAAATTGTAAATGAGAAAATGCTATTCGATAAAATGTCTCTTTGATCGATACCAAAGTTAGGTTTTGAATTTAAAAAACATAAATAAAAAATAATATAACTTAGAAAATGTTTTATAAATACCAATGATTATATAATTATACAAATGAGATCTTTCAGAGCACTGTGTTTGAGAAAAATATGATTTGCTAAAAAAGAGTGCTACAACGCCAAAAAGTGCATTTTCATATTAAAATTTCAATAAAGTTGATATTGTTGAGTTTATAGTAACACTTGCGGCCCTGTTACAAGATTTTACTGAATTGCAAATTTATAGCTGTTTTTGTAAGAAACATGTATGATTTTATATTTTTATAATTGAGTACACATATTAAGATATAACATACTGAAATTTTGTAACTCTAGTATGACGTTTTATATTTTTAAATATTTTTCAAAATATTCATCAAACCGTAGACTTGCAAGTATTGGAAACTAGATATGCAAGAGTGCATTTGTTTACAAAATTGCACATTTATAGCTCTTTTTGTTAGAAACATATGTGATTTTATATTTTTATAATTGAGTACATGTATTAGGTAATAACATACTCAAATTTTATGGCTCTAGTGTAATACTGTATATTTTTAAAACATTTTTCAAAAGCACTTCTCATATCATATCCAACTGTCGATTCGCAACTAATAAAAATAGAGTATGCAAGTATGTAGGCATTTACAAAATTGCAATTTTTTAGTTTCTTCCGTTAGAAACATGTATGATTTTATATTTTTATAATTGAGTACACATATTAAGATATAACATACTGAAATTTTGTAACTCTAGTATGACGTTTTATATTTTTAAATATTTTTCAAAATATTCATCAAACCGTAGACTTGCAAGTATTGGAAACTAGATATGCAAGAGTGCATTTGTTTACAAAGTTGCGAATTTAGACCTTTTTTTTGTTAGAAACATACGTGATTTTATATCTTTATAATTGAGTATATATATTAGGTAATAACATACTAAAATTTTGTGGCTCTAGTGTAATACTGTATATTTTTAAAACATTTTTCAAAAGCACTTCTCATATCATATCCAACCGTCGATTCGCAACTAATAAAAATAGAGTATGCAATTGTGCATTGCAATTTTTTAGTTTCTTCTGTTAGAAACATATTTGGTTTTATATTTTTATAATTCAGTACACATATTTAGAAATAACATACTATAATTTCATAACTGTATTACAACGCTTTATATTTTTAAAATATATTTTAAGCCGTCAATTTACGTTTACTAACTTTTTTGTATATAAATATAACTACGAACAAAACTACTTACTACAATTCAATCATAATTGAATAATATTCACGTAAAACATCCTATTAAACGTAATTAAACATCATCTGTCAAAAACGTTTGACATTTCACGTATTAGCCACCGTCCATCGTTTTATTTAAATTAAATAAAAAATAGTAATAGTAATAGTAAAGTTTCTATGCGGTTTTGAAATAATATCTCACCTTTTCGACAACCTACTGATTAGCACGAATTTTTCAAGACTAAGACTGGCCAAATCGGTTTAGCCGTTTTTGAGTTTTACAGAATCATTTGATCGAGAGCTCTATTTATATATATATATATATATATATATATATATAAGATTATGTTAACTAAATGAGTAACTTATCCTTTACTTAGGTGAGAATAATTCCCTGCTCTGTCACGAGGCCTCCAACAGTGACGTTTCGACGAATCTCTGCGAAGATTCCGAATTCGATTTGGAATCTCAGCCCTTAAATCGTTTCGGAATGCACCAGACTGCAGTGTGACCCTTACTAAATGCTTCTGACGAAGGAAGCCTGTTAATAAAAGAATATTTCATAAATCGCAGGATCCGTAAGAGAACGATGTTGGTTTGTTATTATTATGTTTTTACTACTTATTGTGTAAGATTAAGTTTGATTTAAGTGGTTTCAATTATTAATTGTATTATTTAACTTTGCAGCTTACGTTTTATTTATTTTTTTAATGTAAAGATTATTTATGTAATATTATGTAATGCAATTCGGCTGATTATTGTTAATTTAATTAAGTACATATAAGGGGCAATTTTGAAAAAGCATTGTCATGGCTCATGCTTGTTCTTGGTATTGAAGATTATGAAAATGTCTATTTATAATAAGCGAAGAATAATTTTGCATAATCTAGAATTCAATTTTATTTACTTAAAATTTCCACGAATGTTGTTTAACAATGTATATATATATTGTTATATATAAATTTGTTGCAAATTTTATTAGCTCTAAAATGCGGTTATTTTTTAATTTACGTTTTATATAAAATATTTATGCAAAAGTCATATTGTCAAAAAGTGCACATGTTTATGGAGTTTAAAAATATATTAGGTTGTCAAATATCTCCCTTCCGCTTTTTTGCTCTTGGTTTATAATAAAAAGGGCGGAAGGGAGATATTTGACAATCTTATAGTAACACGCATTTGAAGTCAAAATTGGCACAAATAATATTAAACAATGTATATATTATTATATACCAATTTGTTGCAAATTGTATTAGCTATAAAATGCTGTTCATTTTTTTTTACGTTTTATATAAAATATTTGTGCAAACTTCATATTTTCATGTCACATGCTTAACGCCTATGGAGTTTAGAAATATTGTAGCACGCTTTTGAAGTCCAAATTCTCACAAATAATATTAAACAATGTATATATTATTATATATCATTTTATTAGCTCTAAAACGCGGTTATTTTTTTATTTACGTTTCATATAAAATATTTGTGCAAAAATTCAATTTTTCAAAAAGTATACATGCTTAGCGCCTATGGAGTTTAAAAATATAGTAACACGCTTTTGAAGTCAAAATTCTCACAAATAATATTAAATAATGTATATATTATTATATATAAATTAGTTGCAAATTTTAATAGCTATGAAATGCTGTTATTTTTTTATTTACGTTTCACATAAAATATTTGTGCAAAAATTCATATTTAAAAAAAAAAAGTGTACATGCTCAACGCGTATGGAGTTTAAAAATATAGTAACACGCTTTTGAAGTCAAAATTCTCACAAATAATATTAAACAATGTATATATTATTATATATCATTTTATTAGCTCTAAAACGCGGTTATTTTTTTATTTACGTTTCATATAAAATATTTGTGCATAAATTCAATTTTTCAAAAAGTATACATGCTTAGCGCCTATGGAGTTTAAAAATATAGTAACACGCTTTTGAAGTCAAAATTCTCACAAATAATATTAAATAATGTATATATTATTATATATAAATTAGTTGCGAATTTTAATAGCTATGAAATGCTGTTATTTTTTTATTTACGTTTCACATAAAATATTTGTGCAAAAATTCATATTGTCAAAAAAAAAGTGTACATGCTCAACGCGTATGGAGTTTAAAAATATTGTAACACGCTTTTGAAGTCAAAATTCTTACAAATATTATTAAATAATCTATATATCTCATATCTTATTATTAATAAACATTTTCATAATTTTCATCACCAAGAACAAGCATAAGAGAGCCATGACAACGGCAAAATTGCCTCAATAAAGTAGCTATAATTATTAATTTTAAACGACTTGAGTATTTTCTTGTAAATATTATTTTTATCACCGAGTATCACACAAAATTCATGCACATATCAATATTACTAAAAGTTTGTAAATTGAACAATTATTTATTTTTTGGAAAACTGTAAAAAATGTACAATTAGAAAAAATTCATTTGCATTAAGGAATATTCATTAGTAGAAAACCATATGATTAAATAATTTTTAAAATAACAATTTTATTTCTAATTTATTATTTTGCATTGAAGTGAACAATAGTTTTTGTCTTTTAAAATTCGAGAAATGAAAATTATACTTTTTTTCAATAAGAAGAAAAGTATTTATTTATTTGTTAAATAGTTAATGAAGCACTTCTGCCTCATTGTAGTGAAACTGTAAAAATTCCAACTGTTTGCGTTGCAATCAGGTGTATTTTACATACAAACGAGCAAGAAAGAATGTTATGAAAACAAAACAATTATTGTAAGATTTTTTCTTTCTTGTTTATTTATAATTAATGAATATTCCTCTATCCATAACTCTAATTACATATCGATAGTTCTTAAACTTATCTTTCCTCCATTTTCAGTTACTTTCAGTATTTATTATTATTCAATGTCATGTGTAATAGAAAATATTAATAGATGTAGATATAAAAAAATTTTAATTGACTGACTAACAAACATCATTTGTACTGTATTATAAATAAATAATGATAAAAATGTGGCGATGAATGATTTTAGAAAATAGTATTAGAAATTAATTTTTTACCTTGCAAATAAATTTAGAAGAGTGAATGGAAACATATATATATAAATATATATATATATATATATATATATATATATATATGCTTTGGTTTGTTGTCTATGAATTTGTTTCGATACTTGTAAAATTTTGTACATGATGGTGACTATTAAGTATAATTCTTATCATAGTTAATAAGGTCTAGCAAAATTTAAAATAAGACGTATATACTTTAAGAATATAGTTAATGATGAATACTTGTATATTTTATAAATCAAAATAAATGCCATTAATATCTACTTATTCGGATATTTTAATTATTAGTTTTATATTTCGGGTCTTGGGTAATTATATATTATATTTCAAATGTTAAATCAATTAATTATCAAAGTTCCAATTATTTTTTCAATTAAGATAATCTTGTAATTCAGATATAATTTATTTATTGTAATAATGAAATCATTCACTAAGTATGTATTTTTATAAAAACTGATAATTTAAATAACATATATTTGTCATGAAATAAGTTTATTTGTTTGAAGATATTGATTTATCTATTTTATAACACTTTTATTGTTAAAATTAAAGACTCAAATCAACCTTGTTTCGAGTTTACGGCAAAAGAGGCGTTCGAGTCACTGAAACGCCATCTTCGACCGAACGAACTCGCACGCTCTGCAGTCGCACATCTACAAGTTTGCTTTGCACATCTATGGTTTATGCCAGTCTGTGGGATGTCATGGCATAAATTCATTCATTTTCTCGTCGGAGTTGGTCGAACAAACATCGTGGAATAAAGAGGCCTCCCTGCCAATTGCTGCCTGGACTATAATTCGGTACGTTGTACTTGTGCTAAATACATTTCGCTTTACGGATTCACTCGGATTTCATTTCGTGTTCGACAGTGTTGCGCTAATACTAAAGTCGTATTAGTGCCATAGACGCACGCCGGATATGTTTCATTTCATAACGTCTACTGTTAAATAAAATTATTTCGCTGACTATGCAAGAGTTTACAATCGAAAGGCTGCCGGACCTTGTGCAACGTATTCGAAAAGTGATTGTGGTTTGTGAATATTATGAACTCGGTTATAAAAATTCCGGGAATATTTTTTTTTCACTATTGTATAAATTCAACCGCTATTTTATAAATATTTTTATCATTGAGATACTTGGGTATTTTGTGAGTATATGTGTATATATTATTCAATTTTAATATTTATTTATATTATCACCAGGTGCTAACTCATTTCGATTTGTAGATAACAAGAATTGCGTATATTTGACCACAATCATTCTATGATTATCTGGACCAACTGAATTGTACTCAAAGGCAGCTTTGGTGACGTATCAACATCATTCACTAATCTCCATTAGTGTTTAGCATAATTTAATACTAATTTCTGTATATTACAGGTGCAGGTATGTTCGAGTTTGGGGCAGTCAGTTACTACAGTAGTTTTGTGCAGAGTCTTTCAGTTTTCATGCTAATATTATTACTGCAGTGCACTCATTCTGGTTTTATTGGAATTGCATTTGGCATGAATGTATTTATTGAACAGTGAATTGACCCAAGATATTAATTGATAACTTTATTTTTGCTTCATTTTTTACAAATTTACAAAATCATTAAAGCTTTAGCTTTTACGATTCCAATGACCATTTGCATGATTTGCATCCATTTACTAATACTAACAAATACTAACAGACACTAATCTATTTAACTACTAATAAATAATATGGTCGTTTGAATCTTTTAGGATTATGCAATGTGTATTTGATGTATTACATTAAATTTAAATTTTCACTGTTTTCAATTTTTGTTAATGCATTTCATATAAAACCAAATGCAATTATTAAGTTGCTAGTAAATTTCTACAGTATATTTCTGGGCATCAAGATGAAATCATATGAAGTCTACAATATATCATACCAAGCAAATTAAGTATTGAACAGCCAAGTATAGGATGAAAATGCAGTTTACATTCAATATATTATTATTGATGAATAATACTTCATATGTCATATAATAAACTTGCCGTTTTGTAACCTTATAATTTGTTTTTAGGCATATTTAAACAGCCACTGTGATTTCAACACCATGGACAACTGGATTGATACGATTGAAATATTTGGAAAGCATTCAAAGTATGAACAACTTAGAGATTTAGCAAACGTAGTCATTTTTATGATCACAGAAATTTTCAAAGAACTATGAGAAAATTCTCTTTGAGTAAGTTCAAGTAAGTGACTAATAATCAATATTTAGCTTATCATTATTTTTATATAATGTTAATTTTTTTTAATATTTAATTTATTTTTGCATATATTTTACAACTTATTACTGCTGCTCTGCACTCCGACTCCTTCACCAGGAATCTTTCCAGAAACATTTTACCAGGTGTGTGTTTATCCATAATCAGTATAAATGTGAACAATAAATAACATGTTTATTTTTTTTTTCAGGTCCTTTCAACTGCTGCTGCTCTGCACTCTGACTCCTTCACCAGGAATCTTTCCAGAAACATTTTACCAAGTATGTGTTTATCCATAATTAGTATAAATGTGAACAATAAATAACATGTTTATTTTTTTCAGGTCCTTTCAACTGCTGTCGCTCTGCACTCCGACTCCTTCACCAGGAATCTTTCCAGAAACATTTTACCAGGTGTGTGTTTATCCATTACCAGTACAAATGTGAACAATAAATAACATGTTTATTTTTTTTCAGGTCCTTTCAACTACTGCTGCTCTGCACACTGACTCCTTCACCAGGAATCTTTCCAGAAACATTTTACCAGGTGTGTGTTTATCCATAACCAGTATAAATGCAAACTTTATTAAAATGTTTCTTTTTTGCAGATTTTATCAATTCAACTATCACTGCCCCTGATGCTAAAAACATCATGAGTTTGGAGTACTCATTCATGTAAATGATTCGCAAGTGGTTTTTTTTTAATAACTGCCTATAATTATGCATGATTAACTTAACTCTTACTAAATCACTAACACGACTAACCTCACTAACTTAATCAGTTATTATAAAAACCACTTGCTGAGTTTTACAATGAATGTCTTGCTGAGGTTGCTTGAAAGACAGCGCTGATTGATTTATCAGGTAATTTATTTTTTATAGTATATTTTATGAGACTTGTTACTAATTCATTGTTTTTGTTCATAGGGTAAACAACTTCAAGCCAAGTAGTCTTCAACTCTCAACTTACTCAAGACTTGTTCTCCAGCAAAAACAATCGCTCGAACTACTATAATTATGTCGTCCCAAGTAACTACCTCCGTCTTGTCGTCAGGGAAGGTGTCTACTGTGATATAATATATAGATTAGTTAAGTGCATAAATGTTAATGAAATAATGAATAAATATATTGTATTTAATTCAATTTGTTGTTTTAATTTAATTATGAGCCACTTTACGGCCAAAAAACATTATGCTGTAACGTAAATTACGAAGATATTTAAACATTTCTAACTTGATAACAAAAATTTCTTGTGTTATCAATAGGGATACTTATTAAGTGCACTTTTTAGTGTAGACAATTGTGCAAAACAGTTTCTTTACTGTTTGGCTGTTTGCAACCATCTTGCCGCATCTTGGTTAAGCTCTTTATACCTTTGCTTTTTGACTCGGTAGAAACGCGTTGACAATGGACTTTGCTTTTTTTCAAACACTTATGTTAGTCGAGTGCCTTAAACATTTAATACGTCGGACCGATGTTTTCTCTTGTTTAAATATTACACTTTCTATTATTTCTTTAAATGGTGCACTCTTTTTCTTAGCTATAAATATCACTTAATTTAATATCACCATGTGTTAATATTAATATATATATATATATATATATATATATATATATATTGTATAATAGCAATCGATAATGCTGCATTGTGTAAGAGCGATGCTCAATTCGATATCGATTGCAGTCATTATCACAATCAGCAAATATTTTAAATACGCCATCGTAAGGTGTTTGTAGTCCCAGTTTAGAAGTATATAAAGTCGTATAAGATAATCATTGTAAGTGGGTGCTAATAAAGTATTGTTAAAAATAGTCAATCAGTGTTGTTCTTTAGAAGTGACAAGATATTTCAGCCAATATTTTAATAAAGAACTCAAGGCAATCCGAAGCCTACTATTACTATAACCACCGCTCGGTAAGGCTGTATTGACTAGGAGGTCAATACAAACCACGTTACCAACAACCCAATACATTTCAATATATATATTGTATATATATATTATACAATTAGATAAATGTTAATGTATTTTAGTCGTTTTCATTACTGCAATTGTAAGAATAAATTAATATAATTGTATTATTAAATACTGTGATACATAAGAGTTTTGAATAAAACTAACTAAACTTTATTTGGAGTGTTTCATTTCACACCATTTTCAGTACAGGTGCAGGTACTATAAACTGATAAGCTAATGTTATCATAAACATTAATATACTCATTAATTCGTTCTTCGAAGAGGATTTAATATTTTGGATAAATTTCATATAATATAATTTTTGTAATCTAATTCTATGATGATTAATATTGTTAATGTAGTTATAAATTTGGCCATTTTAAATAGACTAATCTATGGTTTTTCACTCATTTTTCAATCACTTTAATCTATTATACTATTATTTAAAGTCTTAATTAGTTCATTTTAATTATTATACTTTGAATATTGGTAAGTTTTACTTATCTATACTTATAAAAAAAATTACTTAACTATAACTTGTGAAAAAAAATTCAAGTTCTCAGTCTTGTGTTATTTTCTTCTTTTGCACAAGAATATCTTCATTATTATTAATACATCTTAATTTTTATTCGCTTAATTATTACATTAATTACATTAATATTCTTACCATATTCCACCCTACCATCTCCTATTTTACTTTACACTACCTTACCATAACCTTACACTACCTTACCTAATACTTACCTACGTTAAGAACTAACTAATGTACTCTTACCTTGCTTACCTTACCACGTCTCGAACCTGCTACCCTGTCCTCTCCAGCGACTCCCACCTCCCAACGCGCGACGCCACGACGATCACATTAATGAAACCGTTACAAAGTAGGTGATATTATATATTTTAAACGAAAAAAAACTAACAGTTCATATGGCCAAAAAAAATTTGAGTTGGTATGGCCTGTGTTGGCGTAATTGGTAGAGTGATGGATTCGTACCGTAAAGGTACCGAGTTCGAATCATACATCAGGACAAAAAACGGAAAGAAGTAGTGCTGTTCGCGTTGAGGAATTAATTTATTGTAAGATAGCACAAAGACAAAATTTAGATTTAATAAACTAAGAGGTCATGAGGCCGAAAAAAAGCAGATTCGGTGTGGCCTGTGTTGGCGTAATTGGTAGAGTGATGGATTCGTACCCAAGGAGTGCCGAGTTCGAATCATACCTCGGTACAAAAAATGGAAAACGTGGAATTTATTTATTGTAAGATAGCACAAAAATAAAATTTAGATTTAATAAACTAACAGGTCATGAGGCCGAAAAAAAGCAGATTCGGTGTGGCCTGTGTTGGCGTATTGCTAGCGTGCTAGCTTCATGTCAACAGGGTACCGAGTTCGATTCATACCTCCGGACACAAAACGCAAAATAGCGTGCCTGTTGACGCTGTGGAACGAGGTATGCACGGAATCACATCCGTTCGAATTTGAGACCCCAGGCAGGCATGCTCCCCTCGATCTCGATTGAGAGGAGAGATACGCGCGAGAATCCCGCAACATCCCCTAATAAGCCCCGCAGCAGCCCCGGAAAGGGGCGAGGGGGGACTATAGGGGGGGTGGGGTTCACGAACCCGCGACCCTGTGGTCCAACCCTCCCGAAAAAGGGAGAGGGGGGACTATAGGGGGGTGAGGGTTCCGCGCGACGACCAGCCCTGGTCGCGCCGGTTGAAAAGCTGGGTGCGTCACAGGGTGGGTCGGTGTGCGAGTCCCCGGAGCACCCTCGAGTGCGATGATGGGGATGTGGGGTGAGGGAAATGCAGTGACGAGGAAAAA